GGGGGTCTTTTTAAGCAATGGGAAGCTATCAGACTCTGACTTGGAGATTATGACTGAAATATCTGAAATAATAAGAACAACTGTTTAGTTTAAGAATCTGAATGACATAAGTTTTAGTGAATTAAAACTCGTTATATGTTTTCATTTAAATTTAGTAAATTACTTTGATCCATCTGTTCACACTTGCAATCACTTAAATCGGGGTGGGCAATAATTTTTGACTGGGGACCGCTTCAGAAATTTTTGAAGTGGCCCTGGGTGGGACCAGGACACTTCCATGCTTCCCTGCCCACAGACCCTGATTGATCTAGGGGTGAGGGAGTGCATGAAGTCTTTGCCCCCATTCCTCTCAGAGAGAACTACCAGCTGTTCTGAACAGCTGGCAATTCCCTCTAGACGCCCATATCCCTGGCAGTGGAAGGAGACTTTGTGCGCTTTGCTCCCTACCCCCAGGTCAGTCAGGCTGGGGTCGGGGGAGGAGCACACAAAGTCTGCCCCCACTCTGCAAGGGAGCACCACACTTAGAGACACCTGCCAGCTGAGCAGCAGCTGGTGGTGAAGTGCCGAGCCCCTTGTAGGGAAGGAGGAGACCTGGTGTGCTCCCCCCTCTCCAAGGCCTTGATTGATCTGGGGCCCACAAAGTCTCCTCCCACCACCAGGGCATAGTGTTCTAAGTGCTGTGTACTCCTTTCAAGGCAGGGCGGGTGGAGACTTCACACACTTCCTCCCACCCAGCAGCAGATACAGGGCAGGACGAGCGGGGCGGCTCACCCGGGCCCCGCGCTTCAATAGGCCCCGTGCCAGCCCCGCTAGCTTTGCCGTGTATCTACTGCTGCTGCCTTCACCTGCTGGAGCCGCCTCCGCCGCTGTCTTTCGCTGAGAGTCCACGAGCGGCTCCGTTAGCCAGTGGCGCACGCAGCAGCGGCTCGTTGCCAGCGAGGCAAAGGGCGAAGCTTGGCCATGGCGCCCGGGTATCCCGCTGCTCCACCCTCCTGCCCCCCAGAGAGGACGGAGGTGGCGCAGTTTCTCCCCCGGGGGAAGCCCAGCCCCCTTCCCCCCCACTCCCGGGGACAGAGCAACCCGCCCGCCAGGGAGACCCCATCTCCTCCCACCAGTCCCCACCTCCCATCACTTGTGGGCACAGTGCAATCCAGCTCCAGAGACAGCACCCCCTCCCCCCTCACACGTCCCTAGGAGCAGGAGGAGTTGGCAGCTGCCCCTGCCCAGCCAGGAGCTGTTGGAGAGGCTGAAATGGTCATTTTGGCCTGTCTGATGAGTCAGACACCACTGCCCGCTGGTCCTCCCTATGGCCCATCTGTGTGCCATCCTCCAGGTAGCCACACCCTGCCTGCCCCCCAACCCGAGTAACCACACGCTGCCTGTC